TGTCTGTGTGTCTGTCTGTGTGTCTGTCTTCTAACCCTCCACTCTTCCCTACAAAGTGCAAATCACACAACCAGCCACAGACTCCTGGTCAACATTGCAAACATAAAAAAAAAACAACCCAGATATATTCCCCACCGAAATCTCCAAACGTGTTATCCAGCCCAGTCGATAATGCATAGGGTTAAAAAAAATAAAAAAGGAACATAATTCGTTCAGTTTGATGGCTGGAGGGCACAACAAGACTACAGCATCTTACTTTAATACCATCTTTCTTAAACTGAACCAAACTGCGAGGCTCCACATAGAACCCAAGTTGTTGGAGGGAGAGAGGGAGGGAGGGAGGGAGGATGGATGGAGAAGAGGAGAGACTCTCAGAGGATTAAGTAGACAACCCCAACATAATTACCAAACTGGCAGATTTAAATCACATTTTAAAACCTGACTTGTAAGCATTTTCCCTCCACCCAGAAAAATAATAATAATAATAACGTCGTGAGCTCCTGTTACAAATGTGAAGGCAACAAAATAATAATAGCTAAATTGGTAAAATAATTCCTCAAAACTAAATTGGGACAAATGCATATTTTCCTACTGCTTCCAGAGAGCTTATAGCAATTTTTTTTATGATGGGAGGGGTGTGTGAGGAGGGGGGGGGGGGGGTTGGAGGGATAAATTCTAGTTTTTTTTTCGTTCTCGCAGGTGCAATATGAATCAATTATCTTAATTAAGATAATGCCTCATACCCAAGAGACTCGGATCGGATGGATTTATTTTTTTTTAACCGAGAACAACTGCGTTGGACGTTTAATATTATTTGTCTGTGTTCCAAATGAAACAGACGAGAAAGAACAAAAGCAAGAAACTGATGAAAAGCGAACTGGATGTGTTGCTTTCATATAAATATCTATATAAAATATGTCCATCTAGATTGCAAATAGACAATAAGGATATATCTGTATAGCACTAGATTGTTGGATATAAAATAAACCCATCTACATAACTGTAACTAGATATGTATATAATACGGTTATATCTGGACAGGCTGATATAATAAAATATAGATATCTATGTGAGGAAAAAAAGTCGGAAATATAAATGCACAGCATTTTTTTTCTGTGTGCAAAAACCTATAAAGTAAGTCGATGCAACGACTCAACACACACAACACACAAGAAAATAAACAATAACCTCCCCAATTGCAAATTTCTTGAAGACAAGACATCTTATTGCCCTTCAATAGGATCAGTTCAGAAGCAATAATATATATATATCATATTGTATATATATTGTATATATACATAAATATATATATATACGAAAACTTGATGATTCTGCACAAGTTTAAAGTTTTTTTTTGCAGTTTAAGTGTCTCAAAATACCAGGGTACCCTAACCAGCAAAAAACAATCTACCCCCAAGTGTTAATGCAAACGGTGCCTCTCCCGACGCTGCTTTGAAATAATTCCTTCCTAATTAAAACCAAATCCACTCTGCAACCGTTTTTATTTGGTGGTGGGAGGGGGTGGTGGGTGGGTGGGTGGGTGGGTGGTGGTGGTGGTGGGAGGGGGTGGGGATGAGGGGGAGAGGTGGATACAAACCGTTTTCATGACACAGTTGGGCATTTTAAGAATAATAATACCCTCTCTCTCTCCTCCCCCCAAAAAAATCAATTTGCAATTTGTTCCTATTGCTGTGCATTTTCACCCCCCAACCCCCCCCCTCCCCCCCCCCCCCCCCCCCCACACACACATCTCTGTCTCTCTCAGTGGTCAGTTGGTCGACCTTTTGTGGTCATTGTTTCCAAACCAGACAGAAGTGAACATATTTGGACGTTAGAGAGAAAGAGAGAGAGAGAGAGAGAGACAGAGAGAGGGTCAGTTTATTGAGCCGTGAAAAAGGAGCTTTTGTTCACACGCGTGTGGCTCGTGTGCCAGGGGAGGGGGGGGGAGGGGAGGGGGGGGGGGAGGGGGGAGGAGGGGATAAAAAGGGGGGAAAAAAATACACAGAAGCTGCTCCACTCAGGCGAGAGAGGAGAGAGAGAAACGAAAACCCCCCAAAAACTTTATTCCACCATCAATTCACTTCACTCATTCCTCCCCTCCAACTCCCTCCACAGCAAAAGCATCACTGACTCAGTCAGTCCAACTATACTAATATATATTAAAAAAAATTGTAATAATATATTACAACGGTATATCGTATTGCAACAACATAATAATATATCGTAACATATCATCTGCAATATATATATATATATGTATACTGTGATAGGTATATAGATAAATATATATAAAAATATATTATATTTTTTTCCACCTCTCTCTCTCTCTCTCTCTTTCTCTCTCTCCCCCCCTCCTTCCTTCCTTTCCCTCCCTCCCTCCCTCCCCCACAGCCCCTCTTTGTTTTTTTTCTTCTTCCAAATGCAATATCGATCAATATTAAATAAATACCAGCAAAATCATCTTTTTTTTTTGCACCATACCTCTTGCGAGCTGTGTTGTTGCACAGGGTGGAGGGAGGGAGTAACCTGCGTCCCGTTGGATTTCTTTCCAAACTGCATTAAATTCCTTGCATCAGTTGCAAACCCCCCCCCAACCCCAACCCCCAACCCCCACCCCAAACCCCACCCCCCCCCCAAAAAAAAAAAAAAAAAATTACAACCCCACAAACAGCCTCAAGTGCGAAGTGGAGAACTTGTGTTGTTTATTTGTTGTTGTTGTTGCATTAAGTCGCATAAACTGCGCCATATCTATACACCTGTCACAGTATATAGATATAGATATATATATTGCAGATGATATATTATTACGTCGTTACACTACGATACATCGTTGTAATATATTATATCATTGTTTCGATATAACACATCGTACAAAACATACTAAAAACCCCAAAATATATACACAGTATAGAGATACATACATTTCAGATTATGTGTTAATAATCTAAAACATAAAACATATATAACAATATATATATATATAGATACACAGCAAATACACACACACACACATATAAATACATATATATATATATATTGCAGAGCAGGAACAGTGCGCCGGGAAGGCAGTTGGTGGCTCGTGTCCTGTTGATGTTTTAGGGAAAAGTTGGGAGTGAGTGCACTGAGAGAGAGGGAGAGAGGGAGAGATGGAGAGAGGGAGAGATGGAGAGAGGGAGAGGAGGAGAGAGGGAGAGATGGAGAGAGGAGATGGGGAGAGGAGAGGAGGAGAGTGGGAGAGATGGAGAGAGGAGATGGGGAGAGGAGGAGAGGAGGAGAGGGAGAGATGGAGAGAGGAGGAGTGGGAGAGATGGAGAGAGGAGATGGGGAGAGGAGAGGAGGAGATGGGAGAGATGGAGAGGAGGAGAGGAGGAGGAGAGAGGAGAGGAGGAGAGGGGGAGAGGAGGAGAGGGAGAGATGGAGAGAGGAGAGGAGGAGAGGGGGAGAGGAGGAGAGGGAGAGATGGAGAGGAGGAGAGGAGGAGAGGGAGAGGAGGAGAGATGGAGAGAGGAGAGGAGGAGAAGGAGAGATGGAGAGAGGAGGAGAGGGGAGATGGAGGGGAGATGGAGAGAGGAGGAGTGGGAGAGATGGAGAGAGGAGGAGTGGGAGAGAGGAGAGGAGGAGAGGAGGAGAGGAGGAGAGCAGGAGAGATGGAGAGATGGAGAGAGGAGAGGAGGAGAGATGGAGAGAGGAGAGGAGGAGAGGAGGAGAGGGAGCCTTTGGCTGTGCGGTTGCTGTGGGTGAGTAGGTCGCTGACTGGCGACAGATGGCCACAATAGGCGATGGGAAGCCACACGCGCCGACGGAATACAAATAGGGGGCGACTCACAGGACTTACCCCCCCCCATATATACACCCCCCCCACCCACAGCCCCCCCCATATATACACCCCCCCCACCCACAGCCCCCCCATATATACACCCCCCACCCACAGCCCCCCCCATATATACACCCCCCCCACAACCCCCTCCCCCCCCCCATATATACACCCCCCCCACCCACAGCCCCCCCCCATATATACACCCCCCCCACAACCCCCTCCCCCCCCCATATATACACCCCCCCCCACCCACAGCCCCCCCCCCATATATACACCCCCCCCACACCCCCCCCCCCACAAACCCTCCCCCCCACACACACACCCACACGTCCTGAGAACCAGATGGCGTGTCCCCAGTACGCAGACGCGCCCCTTCCCAGTGATGGAGAGGAGGGGGGAGGAGGGGAGGAGGAGGGGGGAGGGGGGGGGGGAGGGGGTGGGGGCAAAGCACAGGCACCACTCGGAGCGCCTTCACCACTGTATATATAACCGCACCGCCCGATGCCATCCCACCCCCAGTGCGCAAACAGCCTCGACTCGCGAACTGCAGCGGCTACAGTCCGGATGAGACCATCGTAAGGGCTATTTGCAAAGGTAAAGCTCCCTTTTTTCTTCCCCCCCCTCCCCCCTCCCCCCCCCCCCCCCCCCCCCCCCCCCCCCCCCACCCCCCCCCCCCACTGGCATTTTACAGGTTGCATTTTTTAAAATTTATTTTAAAAAATATATATTGCAATGACACGTTGCAATCAAAGCTACGCGTGTATTGGGATGGAATTTGTTTGATGGGTTTTGTTCTAATTTTTTTTTTTTTTGGGGGGGGGGATATGTCATGTGCATACATGTGTGTACATATGTGTGTGTGTGTGTGTGTATATATATACACCAACCAAAAAATCAATCAGATTGCAACCAGTATTTTAGCATCTGGGGAGTGAGGGCTGAAATGGAATGCTGCAACAATTTGCCCCCCCACCCCCACCCCCCCCCCCCCACCCCCCACCACCACCCCCCCCCAAAAAAACATGCTGTTTTTTGTATAAATTATTAATTTCTGCGGAAGGACCAGAAGAGTGGCGCGCAAGACAGGAACATATGCTACCTGTTACTGCGATGAGGAGACACACAAGGGGGTAGGACGGGCGAACGGTTAGCAATGATTTAAATAGTTGCCGCACCACATCGAGATGATTGTACCTTTTTGCCACCGACCAATCTTCCGGCGATAGCATTTCGAAACCAGGGACTTAAGTCGGTTATCGAAGCCGCTTTGAATGAAACCGAAGGAGTCGCCTTCAGATGGGACGCTTATTAGAGACACAATTTTGCACCTGAGCCCTCTGGATTACAACGCTTGCCTACACTTGTGGTTTCCAGACCTCTGGTGTGTTTCCCCCCCACCCCCCCCCCCCCCCCTCCTCCTCCCATCCACCCACGCCAAAAAAAAAAAAATTCTCCTTTTAGAAATACTATACGGGTTTGCTTTTATTTTTATGGATCTTCCTTTTTTCAAAAAAACATATTTTTATCTGGGCTTTTGGACCATTTTTGTTTCACAAGTGCCGCCTCGCATTTGGGGGAGTGATTTGAAGAATGTTTTCCAGCTCCACTGATTAAATCTGTCAGTCAAATTTTATTTGACCTAATGTGCTTATTTATGATCGTCAACTAAATCAGCAACTTATAGAATGGTTTATAGGGTCATTATTAACTTCATGCAGAATGGGGAAATCCGCGTATTCATCTGTAACCCCAAAATACCCTCAACCGTCTTGTCTCTGGCATATGTTTTTCAGTAATGAATGCAGCCTCTATTCCCCCCACAAATATTATTTCCACCAACATAATTGATAGCACTTTAAATGTAGTTACCTGCAGAAACTGGAGAGATGGAAACATATTGATTACCTTCAGATGGGTGTTTATTTATTAAAAACACCATTTGATACCTCCTGTTCAAATGGATGCAAGGATTTTTGTGCGTTCCCTCCAATTTTTGCCTAATTATTCTGCGGGAAACGTTATGGATGAAGCAAAAATAAGAGGGAGGCGTTAGAACAAATCTGTATTGCTTTTCCCCCCGTGTTGTTGTTGTGCTTTTTTTTGTATTGGTACATTTGAACGCTTTCTATCGCTTTCTTCAATCCAATTAATTATGCACAAGGTGAAAAGCATAGGTTTCAGATGGATTTGTTTTGCAGTAGTCGTGTGCGCGTAGAGAAATGTATTTGGTGCTGGATACTTTAGAGACCCACACAATACACAGTCAGTTCCACTTTACAGTATATTCCGTCAAGCGCTTCGAGACGTCTCGAAGACGTGATAAGGCACTGTGTCAAATGCAAGTTACTACTGTTGTTATCAGCATTCTGACTTCGTTTTTATGCGTAATTTGGGTTGGGATCCGTGTGCTAAAGTTCTCTGCAAGGCTTTCCAGTTATTATTATTATCATTTTTTTTGTGGTGGTGGTGGTGGTGGTGTGGGAGGGGGAGAAGAAGAATTTTTTTATCGGTTAGTTGAGTTCGACAGACAATTCCTGATGATGGGAAGCAGGTTAATTTTACTGCACTGGGTTGGGGAGGGTTGGCACAGGCTAGGTACCTATGTCTTCTTTACGAACGTGTTCTTCAATGTGTTTAAATTGTGCTTTCATTTTCTTTTCTTTTTCTTTTTTTTTCGCGTGTGTTGTTTTCGGACAAAAAAAAAAATAACACCAGGAACTCCTTGACAATGACTAAATCGTTCACGGGAAACGTGATGCCAGCCACGCAGAGCCACCCGAGTTGGACCGACGACTGCCTCGGCTCTCCAGACGCACGCGAAGCCGACCAGAAAGACGAGGAGAGCGAAGCCATGCACCTGTCCGCCAAGGAGGACGAGGATGGACTCGGGAAGGACCAGGTGGCGGGTGAGGTCGAGGAGGGGGAGGATGAGGAGGAGGAGGAGGAGGTGATAGAGGAGGACGAGGAGGAGGAGGAAGACGACGAGGACGAGGACGACGACGAGGAGGAGGGCGAGGAGGAGGAAGGGGAAGATGAAAACCAGAAACCCAAGAGGCGAGGACCCAAGAAAAAGAAGATGACTAAAGCCAGGGTGGAGAGGTTTAAAATGAGGAGGATGAAAGCCAACGCCAGGGAGAGGAACCGCATGCACGGCTTGAACGCCGCCCTGGACAACCTGCGCAAAGTGGTGCCCTGCTACTCCAAGACCCAGAAGCTCTCCAAGATCGAGACGCTCCGACTGGCCAAGAACTACATCTGGGCTCTGTCGGAGATCCTGCGCTCGGGCAAGAGCCCGGACCTGGTGTCATTCGTCCAGACGCTTTGCAAAGGCTTGTCCCAGCCCACCACCAACCTGGTGGCCGGCTGCCTCCAGCTGAACCCGCGCACTTTCCTCCCGGAGCAGAACCAGGACCTGCCGCACCTGCCGGCGGCCAGCGCTTCCTTCCCGGTGCTGCCTTACGCCTACCAGTCGCCCGGTCTTCCCAGCCCGCCTTACGGGACCATGGACAGCTCCCACATCTTCCACGTCAAGCCGCACAGCTACGCGGCAGCTCTGGAGCCCTTCTTCGAGAGCGCCCTTACCGACTGCACCAACACCACCAACCCGTCCTTCGACGGACCCCTGAGCCCGCCCCTGAGCATCAATGGGAACTTCTCCTTCAAACACGAGCCGTCTCAGGAGTTCGACAAGAACTATAGCTTCACCATGCACTACCCAGCCGCCTCTCTGGCCGGTTCCCAGGGCCACGGTTCCATGTTTGCCACCCCTACAAACCCTCGGTGCGAGATCCCCATAGACAACATTATGTCCTTTGATTCCCACTCGCATCACGAGCGAGTCCTGAGCCATGCCCAGCTCAGTGCCATCTTCCACGATTAAAAGAATGAAAGAAAACAAAAGAAACAGCAACAACACACAAAAAAAAACACTTCTTGGAAGCCCAGGATAACCGACGGAGTTCTCGTCAAGGAAACCGATTCCCTCGTCCTTGCTTTCCTCGGAATCGCTTGTTTACACGCTGCAGCGTTATTTGTATCGCCGCTGCCACTCGCAAGTGTTTCACGCTTAAACCCTAGTCAGTTGTATTTATTATTGTTACTGCCTTTAGGAGAAACGGGGCTGGACGAGTTCCTGTTGACCTTTCTACAATACTCTACTAGCGCTTCTCTCTGCGGGCTACATAAGAAAGTCGATGTAGCGATGTATTCAGATAATGGTAATTACTGATCCACACGACAAAATCACGAGCAATAATTAGGAATCTATGCAATTTTTAAACTAATAATGGGCCAATTTAAAAATATATTTTTCAACCAACATTTTACTACTATTACCTTTCCCATGCTGAATTATTTTGTTGTGATTTTTGTACAGAATTTTTAATGAACTTTTTATAAGGTCGATTTCCTATTTTAGCCATGCAGCTCCATCACTGTTTTTTATATATATATATAAAAAAAAGTAGGATTATCTATGATTTATACAAGAATAATTTAACTAGTTTTTAACCAGCAGGAAAAGTGCTTAGAATAATATTCTGTTGCCTTAGCACTTCTTTCCTATATATAAAAAAAATCATGCAAGGTTGCACAATCTTGACAAATTATTTCCCCACTTCAGTCTTTTTCTGGTATGAAAACAACCCACTAAACAAGCAGGGTGCAAATCGAAAACAAATAAAAGTCTTGTCTTTAGCCTATCATATCAAAAAAGGATTTAACAGTTGCACAAAACATGTATATAGGAATCCAATGCCAATTTTCAGTTCCTTAAGACGGTTGCTTGACTATCACAAACCATTTGCACTGTTATTTATGAAAAACAACGCGCTCATCAAAATTCGTATAATACTATTGGAACAGCGAGGATAATTTGACTCCCAAACCAGCGAAGGAACAGTTTGTTCCATGTATCAGCTAAATGACTTCACACAACACACACACACATACATACATACACGCACCCAGTGTCTTATCATATCTGAGAGTTAAACTACAGCTATAATCAGGCTTATTAATGTTGGGCTATATATTAGTTACTTAGTACAGTAGTTAAAATCTCACATTTATTCCGTACTTAGAACAATAGATATTGCATGTACAATGCAGTCCAGATGAAGTGCTGTTAAAGTGTAATGCTGGTTCAACTGGAAGAAATTGGTACTGTAATTTTGTTTGTAACCCTGTATATTAATGATGTAATGCCACAAAACATTTGGGGGAATGAGACTCAGACCCATCCAGTCATTTATTGAAATAGTATTGCTCACCTTTGTCAAATGTTGCATTTTCATTGAATGTGATTTTTTTTTTCTTAGTGGATGTAATTCCTATGGGATTATTGTTTTACTCCGGTAGCTCATGAAAAAAGGTGCAGAAAAAAATATTATTTGTAGAATAAAAGTTGATTACCGCAAACATTTATTTCCACAGTCTTGAGTGTTTTTATTCCAATATGTACATCAGCTCCCTCGGCAGCGATGAAATAAATACACGTGACCTCTTCTGAATCATCATATCAAAGAACGATATCAATCCATAAGAGCAATCAGTCCAATAAATGAACCACTCTTATATAACCAACTTGCCTTCTTTATTTGAGAAGTGTATCTGACGTCATTGACTGGTCTCTCTGAGAGAACCTTGTCCTTCAACACTGAAGAAGAATGAGAAGATATGCTGACAGTTATGAGCCACCAGGAACTCATACATTTTCCCCTTGTCCATTATATTTTCTCTACCACCATGGCAGGTATGAGGGTCCAAATTCAGTTCCTCAAACTTTGCAAAACAACGCAATGATCCTAGCTCCTCTGTGCGAGCTACAAAAAAATCCTCGTGGTGTCGCAGGGAAATCTTCTTCCAATTCAATCTCCTGATACAAAATGAAAATATAAATGTATCTCATCAGCTGCAATACATAAATACGAGACAAATTCAGACATTTGTGTACTAGACGCCCTAGTTTAAACTTTTTTTTTAAACTAGATTCGCACACGGATCTTTTGAATAGCTAAACCTGCTATTGCGAGGAAGGGGCTACAGTCTAAACTGACGCTAAGAACAGTATTTGGAAGTTTATCGAGGTATCGTTTGATTTCTATTATTTTAAAGTTAAACCTTACAAAGCTGTACACAATTGTGCATAACTAGGTCTACTTGATGTGAAGGGACTATCTTTTGGGAGGTGCAAACCCTTGTAATAGAGATATTAGGTTCAGATCTTAAATTCAGGCTAAGGAACAGTATGACAAACTCTGTTTGACGTAAGCCTTCCATCTCACGTTGCTTTCCAGAAATTGGGTCTAAATTATAAATTGTGCCTGTGCAAATTTAAAAACAACAATTCTGTAAAATTGCGGGAATTGTCCTAATTAAAGAAGCATTTCATCCAACTCTGTCCCAAAATCCGATTCTATCAGATGTATAATGTACTTCATTTTCTCAGTCTCTGAGTTCAAAAGCAATTCACATTATTTTCAAGAATATTAAAGAAATTTAGTATGGGAACCTACGTTCATATTTATGACTTTCAAAAAATGTAACTAATTTATGTCTTAATGAAACAATTCCTCTCAAGTGCTGCTCTGAAGAAAACAGTAGGCAGGATAAAATCTTCAACGTGCCTCTGTGTTTTACTACAAATCATAATTACCTATTGCTCTCCCTTCCAAGCAAACATATTATCGGTTGTTTTCACTTTCCTTCTTTAAGACATAGTATAAAAACAAGAAAAACGAAGATGTCTTGATATGTGAACTTTGAAAATATATAATTCTGCTATATTTGAGATTTAATTTGAAACAAACATTTGATTTATGGCCAATGACAAAGTTAATTAGATGAGAGTATTAGATTATACTGGAAACCAGTTAGCTACTGCATTTATTTTCTTTGTGCATTGTTTGTGTGCGTGAGTCACTTACAAATTACCTTTACCTTACTGATGACCAGAATTTTTCACATGCTTGTTTCTGACCTTCTACACAGATGCAACCTGGCTTTCCTGGAAGACAGAATCCAGTGAGAGACAGCTCGGTTGCCCAGTCCAGAATATTTCGCCGTTTGTCTTTGCCATATATGTGGTGGCTTTGAATTAAGTATCTGGAGAATACAGACTTGGCAGGATCTTCACTTTCTTGCCCCTCGGCACTCTTTCTATCCTCATTATTAGCATCTGGGGCTTTTGCAGTGGATTTCAGAATACAATCCTGCAACCACTGCAGCACATTCACCATACAGAGTTCACCCTTCTCGAGTGTGGTAATATATTCCTTTAAATCTTTATTTATTTCTTGATGCTTATCTCGAGTGAGATTCCCACACTTGACAGACACGACAGGTGAATCGTTTGGGTAATCTAAAGGATAAAAGCAGTCCACATCTAGAGTTAGATTATTATGACCATTCTGCCCTTCTGGACTGAGTTTTACCGTAAAGCTCAAGTTTCTAAGGCAAATATCTGTATCTCCGATTGCAAACTGATGCATGTCTGCCAGCACTGTCACATCATGGACAAACAATTCATTGCTTGCTGGGTACATACACTGCAGAAGCTCAAATTCACTCAGCTGAAGTTGGACTTGTTCCATGTTTTATTCCCTTGTGTCCATTGGTAGTTTCACGAACACCTAAGCATAAGAAGAGAACAAAGACAAGATTCAACCAGATTGCATTAAATCACATTTGTTTCAGATAAAAATATATAAAGCAGCAGTATTTTGGTTGGCAATTTGAATTAGTAAAAAGCAGGTTTTAAAGTATTGAGCATAGAAATCATTCTGAAGAATCTATTCATAAATAAAATACTAGAGGTGAACGTAGATATATTAGGTAGTCAAAGCAGAGTTTCAATGTCTCAGTAATTTCATAAAGATCAAGACAACTATCAAGTATTAATAAAAGGTTGGCTTAAGAAACTGGCACATAAGTAGATAAAATGATTCTTAGTTATGCCTAGATTTCAAAGCACAAGGATTCTTTCAGTCAGTTTAGGGGCAACTTACATGCAACCATCTTTTATTCAAACCCAGGCAGGCACAGATGTTCCTTCTGCAGGGGAGGCTTTAATTTATGAAAATGATATTGTTTATGCATGAATGCACTATGCATAACACACAGTACTTCCATCTGATGGGAGAAATACCACAGAACCAGTGCCAATGTCAGGAACATATTCTGCAGATTTATACGCTTAAATGTTTAATGACCATTTGGAACGCATCTTCAAACCAACAACAAACCTTTTCAAACATTCTGATTCTTTTGGCATTTGTACTGCCATATACATCCAGATAAGATCATCCACAACTGCTGGATGTCACATACTTGCATGTATTCTAAATCAAATGAAATCACTGAAAATGGATAACACTGTAGATAATACAAATACTAAGTATTGTCCGAGTGGGACCAAAACTCAAAATTGGAGATGTTTATTCAGCAGTGGCTTAATGTCAAAACATCTCAAATATTTCACAAACTAAATGTTAAATATGTTACATGTGGGGGCTGGCTACTTCAGGATTTAAGACAACACCGGGAAGATCTTTATCACTACATGCTGCAGGGAACCTCACTTGCTTTTTTTAAAAAAAAATCAATTTAATTTACTGATGGAAAACACTACAGACATCAGCAATTCCGACACTGAGCCGCAGTACTTACAGTGGTATCATTTATTTTTCTTGCTGTATGCCAAGTGCATAAACACAAAGGCAGTGTGTCAATCACAGACATCACACCCCCGGCTTTTAACTTCTGAGGGTGCCACACCACAATGATTGACAGGTGCCCTGTTCAAGCTGCTCTTCATTCCAAACAGCGACCGCATCAGGTTTTGAATGCAACGTATGTCAAATACAGCAATCTATTAGGTAGTGGCAGTGACTGCTACTTGCATTTTGTGTTTGACTGTAAAAAACATCACCGAAGAGAAGAAATGCTACTGAAAAGGTTATAATCTTTCAAGTGTTCTCTGTAGACCTGAAGGGCCCGAACATTTTAAAATTAGACACATTATCTGGTGTCTTTTCTGACTGAAGACATGGTATTTTAGGTAAGATTGCCATCCAAAATAAGAGAAACCCAAGGAGGTCACCAAGTACATATGAGTTCTGAGATCACCCTCAATTAGGAGGTATGTTTTCTAAATCCATTAACTTATGCGATGGTAAGTAATCCACTTTATACATTTCCAGTTAATGGGAAACATACCAAGAACATATATTCAAATTCACATTGTATAAAAAAAACTTTGATATGGTGCCTTGTGTAATATTGTTTGGATTTTAAGCCTTCAAGCATAACCTAGAAGGTTTTGCTTTAAGGCTTAGTTGAGGAAGGGCATGAGGAGGCTCTTGCGGAGAATTGGGCCGAATGGCCTGTTTCTGTGCTGTATATGCTAATGTATTGTAACTGAGTTGCTTCGAGCTGAAGTGACTGTTTTTATAAATATAATTATAATAAATCACAACAATCCTTGCATTTGATATAGCGCCTTATCATGTCTTCGAGACGTCCCAAAGCGCTTCACAAAATGTACTGTAAAGTGAATTGACTGTATATTTTGTGGGCAAATTGCACATTGCTTTTTATTTTAAGTATTTTTCATTTTCACACTCAAAAAAAACTAGAATTTATGTAACTTTTAAAGAAGAAAAAATTGTCCCTTTATTTTATTTTATTTTAATTCTTTAGGAATGAAGATTTCATAGAGAACTAGAGAACTATTGCTAATGCAATGTCTGGAACAAAGCTTTCTTAAGAGTTTTGTTTTCTGCATTAAAAAGTGACTTATTCATGGATGACATCCATCTTTGAAATATTATATCTACAGTACTACCTGCTCGTACAGAGAGTTCCTGCTTCAGTTACCTAATGTGCTGTTCTCCTATCCATCTTAGTTTACCAGATATTGTATCTTTCCAATAGGACCAACTTTCAAGTTCACAACTGACCAGATCTGCATCTGGGGCGAAGATATGATAAATCCAAACCTGTGCCCTGACCTCCAGCTCAATTACTGCCGCCCATCCTCCAGGGGTGACAAAGTTCCCTGAAATTCATCTGAGCTCCCATTTAAAAAGGCAAACATGCCGAGTAATACAGATGGTGACTGGTGTAACCCGATACTTTGCAGGACATTAGCTCTATTTCCCCACCACTGGCAGATTTGGGCAGATGGTGTATATATCCCCCAAACTTGTGAAACCTGTGAATATTAAGTATAGCCTCACAAAGAGCCTTAAATGAGGCAGCGCAAAAATAGATCCCAACATCATCCCCAACACCCTGAGATAGGCCCTTGCTGGTATCTTGTTTCATGTCTTTTTTAATCTATGGAGGATCTCACAATACCTGGTAGAACAGAATACAGAGATTGATACTGAGCTTGTATGAAATTTAATCCTCTTGCAGATTTATAACATTCAAACCTAGGGCATGACATACATGCAAGTAATCTTTAGTCAGGCAGGATAAAGTCCGCACTTGTACTGACAAATATGATGTGTTCCTCATGGCTCTGTCCTTGGTCCTCTCCTCTTTAATATTTACATGCTCCTGCTCAGTGATATCATCTGCAGACACATGGTTTAATTCCACATGTATGTGGATGACACCCACCTCTTATCTCTATCCTCCAACCTCGACTCCAAACCACCGATGTCGTGAATGCATTGTCTGTCAGACATAAATTCCTGGGTGAGAGCTAACTTTCTCGAGTTGAATGTTGACAAGATGGAGGCCATCTTTCTTGGCTCCCGTCAGTGTCTCCCCTCCTCAGGCATTCACAACATCACTATTCACAGGATATGCTCTACCTCATTGAGCCAGTATGGAACATTTTCTTTGACCATCAACTATCCTTTAAACCCCACATGCTTGCTGTAAGGAACTACCCAGATCACTAATGGCATTGTGCAAGGTTCATCTGAAGTAAGCACTGGATTGAAGCATCTAGATACTAATGATTTATTTCTACCTACTGGATTAAAAATGATCTCAGATAGCCTTGCCTTAATCGTACTAAAGTAAGAGCATCGCAGGCCTCGTGTAGGCTGCATTTTGGCAATGCAAGTACTTCCCTCAGTAACAGGGTAGAAGATATAAGCAGGCTTCTTTGGCAGGTCTAGAATTGTTCATCTTGGATGGTTGTCTGGTTTCCTTGTATGACTTGGGAGTTTGCAAATCTGGAAAATGCAGGTGAAACATATAGGTCAGGCCTACCTGGACAAGGACCGTGAGGTTTCCCAGTGCTTTGTACTGGTAGAATGTGCTGTCAGAGGTTGGATTATAGTTTGGACCACTGGGCAATATATAACCAGAAGCAGAGAATATAATTAATTCTACCTGGCTTAGATCTGTAATGATATGCAATGTTATGAATGAGAAAACCAAGAACAGCACACGGACAGCATGTCCCGATACACTTGCTGGTATTAATACACAGCAGCGAGAAAGGTCTTTAGCACTGGAGTTGTTACAGGAGCTCCAGCATAGCTGTCATCAACAAGCTCAGGGAGGTACAGAGTGCTTTCCTGGGGCAGTGGAGGTGCAGGAGCTGTGCTGGATTGTACCCAAATGAGCTATTTCTCCAAGTTTAATTTTTAAACTCTGACAAGTGGTTCCCCAATGGAAAAGCTTGGTGGCCAGATCACAATTCAATTCATTGTTTATGTGACTATCCAATAAATAAAATATGTAAACATATAAATATTTGGGCAAAAAGTTCTTAAATACCCTTTCATTTATATGCATATCTATATTATGCATTATATTTGCTATTGGCTCTCACATTCTCAAGATTAAAGTTGGGACTCCCAACTATTTGTTCTCTCTATTCAATGCCTGAACATTTTTTAATATGGGCTCATCCACAAAGACAGAAATGAAGGCTCCTACTCCTATTATCTTTCATGTGATAGTAATGAAGAGCACAAGCAAAGCCAGTAATTGGAGATGAAGAAATACGAGGCATTTGAGGTGTTATGTAGGGCATGGAGAGAAAGTGTCATATGATGGCATATTGTGTTCTTAAAAGAACAGCTTTTCCTCCTCCTCTCAGGGATACGCTGGCTTTGGTGAACACCTATGTTCTGTGGAGCCGAACAATTTAAGGCAGAAAAAAAATCGATAACGATCACACTTACCCAATGAGTAACAATTGTCCTTGTAAAAACTGCCATGTGAACTGCTTCAATTAGGAAATAATGTGAATTTTCTGCCGCTGTGCTGTAGGGATTTCTAGCACTTGTAAAACAACGTTTTGCCTTTTTAACCATTAATGTTTTCAGAATGAAACACCCAGCAGATTTAGCAGCCAGCCATTCACTTGTTAAACAGTAACAAATAATTATAATATCCTACTTACTTGACATAAGGCTTTGGTCTAAACCTATGATTTCAGTACTTTTCAAACACCATCGCTGATTTGGGCTGGCTTACCACTTAAAAGGATTTCAAAATATTTAGGCAGTTCAGGAGATAATTCCACTTAATTGGGAATAAGATCATTTTGACTTTGATAATCAAATCTTTCCAGTGCACAATTTTATATGTATGAATCATGCACACGCAGAAACACATTTGTCATGCTTTGTTCAATGTTAGCGCATGCATTAGCAGACATTAATCTTAATGTGCAAACAACTTTTAGGCTTCATTTACATATTTGTTCCCAGTAAGAAAAATAGTTTCATAAACATATTAATCATTCGGAGCTACATTGAAAAGGAACACACATTGCACGCCAATAAATGACCAAACCTCAGTAGTTTCATGTTTAAAACAAATATTAAAATATGTGGCAATATATTAACACCTGTGCAAGCAGACCTTCTGTCACTTCTCTTTTACAAGATTGGTATTAACCCTTCCTTAGCCAACTTTACAAAATCGTAATTATTCCAATTAAAACAAATGTATCTACAATAACTAGTATGGGGTTGGTGCAGTGGGTTAGCCTGTGAACTTCTCACCATTGGGGCCTCTGATTGAAATAAGCCCAGTTCAATATAGATAACAATAATCCTTGCATTTGATGTAAAGTTTATAATGTGTATAAGTGCTTCATAAGTAATTGTAGTCAAGTGCAGGAAATCTGTATTTTAGGCAGTACAAGAATCAACTGAAATGAGTTCCCAGTAGACACAAGTCCCTCATTATATAATAATTTAGTATTTTTGCACAGATAGGCTAAAAAGATAATTGGATGGGAAACTGAAATATTGTTTATGTTTTAGATGTACTTCTCTGAAATTAGTGGAAGTGTTAAAGTCAGGCTGTTTGCTGCTTTTGATTTTCTGACCCACTTTATGTTCTCTCTCTCTCTCTCTCTCTCTCAATTCAGATTACGTCAGTGCCTTGCTAATGTGAAAAAAAACATAAATTCCACTTCCTATCGTTTCACTGCTGGGAGTGAGGCAATGGTCACTCATTCCATGGCATTGCTATGAGCTAAATTAGCTGTCAGTCACCTACAAATACACAGTCACTACACTTTCAAATAAGATACTGTGAAGCACTTTGAGACGTGATAACAAGCTTTATCAAATGTAAGGATTTATATTATTATTAATAAAACATCATAATGTATGCGGTCTATTTTAATACTAAGCATAAACTATGATGATAATCTCTTTGCAAAGTTTTCACTTGTGATTCGCTGCTCTTAAATTCTTATTAACGTAGGTAACTGTCCTACAAATTAATAGCTGCTTTCAACGATTAATATTGTTGGTAAGTTGTTCTTTGTAAGCATTAAATGTCGCTCTCTTCTCCATATGGTTTAAAGCACTCCAAAATAAGATAGAAAGGTTTCATTTCTAACAAGAACATGTTACAATCTGATTGATTGTAATGGAGTTCAGATTACAAGTGCAGTCATAAAAAAGGCCACATTTTACTCGACTGTAAAACATTGATTGCATTTCTCAATTTCTGGTATCTTTTTCTAAAAAAAAATGTACTTTTGAATAAATCTTCACCTTGTACTAATCATCTGCATCAATTTTCCACAAACGTATTGAGTTATCTCGTTACAGCAGTTGGATGCAAATATTTGCAGCTGTCTCCTAATGTCTTTAAACACAACGATAAGATAGGAACAGTCGTGGTACTGCAGCCATCTGTGACTCTTGCGTTACAACGTGGTTCACCTGTTATATTATCCGCCCAAAAAAAATTAAATCAACGTGTAGAAGCGAAAACCTTGTTACTTTCACTTTTCTGGGCTGAGAGCCTGACAGCAATAGCAATTCACTGAACAGTGCTGGCTCTCGGTTTAAAATACCCTTATAAATGCAATCCATCGTTCAATCCGGAACCCCAAAATTAGGACAGAAAAGTCAATGGGATATAGAAAAAAAATAATAAAGCACCATCGAGAGGGTTAAAGCGGATCTTCTACTAATGTGCCGTACAACAAACAGCAGCTCTGGTTTGGGTACGGAGGCGAAGGTTTGATTTCCATGTTGTTCCTACTTCCTCGAAGTCTGTTTCACAGCCACAGTCACATCTTACAGTGTACAGATTTGCCAGGAAAATAGCCATCAAATGTCTCTGTGCGTGTGTGTGTGTGCGTGTGTGTGTGTGCATGTTACACACATCGCATTCAACCAAGAGGAATAAGTTACCTGCAAACTCGACCAACTTTTCTTGTGAGTGCTGAGAGTCAGTGGGAGACATACCGGGGCGGGACTCTTAACTTTCCAGCATTTCCATTGGATCAGAGATGGTTACACACTGAACTTTAGCTGCAGGGAGGAAGGAAAGGAAATCAGGAAGGAGGGGAAAAGTTGTCATCATGAACTGATGGGGTCAGAGAGCCAAGAGCTTCGCTGCTCAGCACCATCCCAGGTTTCTATCGACCAGCTTTGAAGTCACAACCTCCTCACTCAGTTGTAAATAATTCACACTCTTCTCAGGCGATCTCTTCTCCCCCCCCTTCCCAACTAATAAAGTCAGTCACTTATTCCTGCTGCCAGGCTTTATCTGGCGAGTGTTCATTTCATTGCAGCTGTTGTCACCTGCAATTGGGCCACTAGCAAAGGGCACAAATGGACAGGTATAGTCTTCAATTGACTGGGATGGAAACTGACAATTTGAAAGTAAAAAACGTAAATTAGTAAAAGTGTCGTGATTCTCAGGACAAGAAAACACACCGCAAGTAATCCAACTCCGGTGCTCTTAAAGTCTGCGGTTGTTAATATTCCTAGATTTGATCGAACCTTTCCTCAACTTCGCAATACTGATTGGCCGCTGATCCTTATAAGCATTGCAGACAACAATAATAATAATAATAATAATCCTTGCATTTGATATAGCGCTTTTCACGGCCCTTCAAGCACACTGCTGATACCCCGAGACTTGCCATTTTGGTCTTATTGGATTGGATTGTGTTGCCTTCAGCCACAGGAATCTAAATGTTAATGTTATTGATTTTAGTCTCCATAGGTGCAGGGGCTTGACATTAATGCTACAACAATGAATATTATTCACTTCTGGAATGACTCAGAAGGTTTAATTATTTCTCGTACCGCAAAATGCAACAAATAACCGTACCATTATAGCTGCAACAACGTTTGTGAAAATCATACGACTTATGGGCTCACTTTTTTTCTCTTGTAGATTAAGGCTCATAGTCTACACAAAATTATAGGTTTCAAAAACGATTCATTTTAAATATATCAAGCCAAATTGCTTCTAATCATGTTGCAATTCTATTATAGTTATTATCATATATCATATTTAAATATAACAACATGGTAAAGCTACAGGGTTCTGATCCCTTTGCCCCGTACAATAGAGATTTCAGTATGCTATCCACCTACTGTAATTTAAAATTAATATATGGGGCCTCAGACCTTCATAATGTGCCACGTTAAGTCTGCGAATGAATACAGATAAGTATTATTATACATCTTTACTGGAACAAGCCACAGAAATCTTCTCATAAGGGATTTATATTGTGGCGTTCTATCAGTAATAATAGTATTATTTACTATTGTTTTGTTGATCAGTTGTTGTCTCTTAAAATGGAACCCAGCCTTTCATTCTTTGCGAGTCCTGTCAGGAGTTAGCACTAAGCTGCTCCTGTCCATCTGTCGGTGTTTCATATCTCGGATAATAGCCTGAGTACGAAGAACAGAATTGACTTGGAAACGTAACGTCGGTTTGCTGAATTCAAAATAATATTTTGGGATGTATTTTGGAGGGTTTTGCTATTTCTAAACTTGTTAAAATAAATGTAGAGTTTTATACCAATCTAAAACCGGACTGTGACATGGATGGGAGTAGTAGCAGCTGGTGCTGTAATATCACAATAAGTGGCAGCAACCTGCATTTGCCTATGATGGTGATCTGAATGAAGGCCTACAGATCAGGGGGAGGAGGGGAGGATAGACTCTGTGGATAGAGAATGATAGTGCAAGCGGTATGAGGGAAGAACTTGGAAGCAGAGGACCGATGACAGACGATAGTGAAATAAAAACCAACAACGACGACGTGCATTTACATAACTCCCTTCACCCCGGAACAGAAACGATAACGGCTGATAAATGGAGGGGGAAAAAAGTGTGAACAAAAGGAAAGAACTGAAGCAAAAATGAGAAATAAATGAAATGTACCCACAAAATAGAAAACAAAACACCAAACATGTGAGACAACATACAAAGAAGAGAGAAGACACACATTGGGTTACAGAATGGCATAGAATCTGTGCTTGAGGATCTGTGAATAGCCACATAATGAGTTCTCGATGTATGCCATGTCATCAGGGCAGACGCCAAGTGGAAGTGAGAGCTGAAACATTGGTATAGGTTATGTCACTTATGTACTGTTCTTGCGTAGCAGCTCCTGTAGCATTGGCAGAGGCCTGGAAACAGGTCAACCTCCCAATTGCTTGGCACCTAAAAGGAAGAAGAAAATCAAATAGCTTTTAACAAATGTCTTCAAGGTGTGGAACTATGAGCTCAGAAAGGACAAATCCCCCCCTCTCCAGTACTAAGTTATCAGATCTCACCTGCGACACCAGTGCAATGGTAGAATTTCGACCGTACCTGCAGTCACCTCCCCCCCCCCGACTTGGTGTCGTGCTCCGTCATTGTCGAGCGCTCTAGAAATTTCAAAAAGATTTTTTGGCTAACGTTCTCAGTAACACCACTGTCTGGGTCGGATGGTTAGTGCACATTTGCTTCCTTTTCTAAATTACGTTTCAAGGCTATTTTATGGGACATCCAATACGGCAACACGATTCGCGCTGGAACTCACTAAAACGCCGGCCTCTCAATGAAGAGATCAATGGAGGGGATTGTATTTAAAAATCAGTTGTTCAATCGAAAGGAACTTGCACCAACCAAGGCCCCATTTATTCGGAAGCATCACTTTATTTGGTTGAAAATCAAGTTGTTTGTAATAGGTTGCAGTCTCTCAGCGATGAAATTTACCCCCGCCCCCACTCACTTAGCGCTCTAGCAAGTAATAAATTAGGTGGCTTAGTGGATGCACTCCAGTTCTCAGGAGAGATAACAACCAGGGACTTGGACGCAACACTTTACCCCAATCTCATTGCAAGTTCATTGATCTGTTCTACAGATAGATAGATAGATAGATAGATAGATAGATAGATAGATAGATAGATAGATAGATAGATAGATAGATAGATAGATAGATAGATAGATAGATAGATAGATAGATAGATAGATAGATAGATAGATAGATAGATAGATAGATAGATAGATAGATAGATAGATAGATAGATAGATAGATAGATAGATAGATAGATAGATAGATAGATAGATAGATAGATAGATAGATAGATAGATAGATAGATAGATAGATAGATAGATAGATAGATAGATAGATAGATAGATAGATAGATAGATAGATAGATAGATAGATAGATAGATAGATAGATAGATAGATAGATAGATAGATAGATAGATAGATAGATAGATAGATGGACGCCTTTTTAAACTGAGATGGGAGTTACGTTATTTAATCTGGTGAGAAACACAGCGGCCAATTGTGCACAACTACAGCACTGAATGCAGAATAAACTTTGGAAATATTTACTTCCAGTGTGTGTGTGTGGGGGGGGGGGGGGAGGGAGGGGGGTGAGGGGGGTAGTGTCACACACCTGTTCCAACACTGAACTGATTTAAGTTGCAAAAAGCCAGTTGCCAAACACAGGGGGTGAGACAGACATTGAGAGTGAGTGAGTGAGTGAGAGAGAGAGAGATTAACGATCCTGAGACTGGTTTATGCATAACAGTTATTTATTAATCAGAGTGATTGCAACTGAAAGGGAACAGGAGACGACGAGGGTGGTGCTGTGTGTGTGTGTGTGTGTGTGCAAACCAAACCCTGAGCTCCACCACACACACACACACAGGGAGAGGGTCACCTGAGCTGCTGTCACCATAACCACAAGACAGGGAGGTGCAGAGCAACAACATAGCCTGTGACTGACTGACTGACTGACTGAAGCCACTGCAAAGAAGCAAAGCAAAGCCACAAACAGGGAGGGGGGGAGAGAGAGGGAGAGTGTGAGAGGGGGAGAGGGGGAGAGAGAGGGAGAGGGGAGAGAGAGGGAGAGTGTGAGAGGGGGAGAGGGGGAGAGAGGGAGAGTGTGAGAGGGAGAGAGAGGGAGAGTGTGAGAGAGGGGGAGAGGGGGAGAGAGAGGGAGAGTGTGAGGGGGAGAGAGGGAGAGAGTGAGAGGGGAGAGAGAGGAGAGTGAGAGGGGAGAGTGAGAGGAGAGTGAGAGGGGAGAGAGGGAGAGTGTGAGAGGGAGAGAGAGGGAGAGTGTGAGAGGGGGAGAGAGAGGGAGAGGGGGAGAGAGAGGGAGAGTGTGAGAGAGAGGGAGAGGGAGTGTGTGTGAGAGAGGGAGAGGGTGAGAGAGGAGGGAGTGTGAGAGAGGGAGAGGGGGAGAGAGTGGGGGAGAGAGGGAGAGAGTGGGGGGGAGAGGGAGTGTGTGTGAGAGGGAGAGGGGAGGGAGGGAGGGAGTGTGAGAGAGAGGGAGAGGGAGTGTGAGAGGGAGAGTGTGAGAGGAGGGAGTGTGAGAGAGGGAGTGAGTGTGAGAGAGGAGGGAGGAGTGTGAGAGAGGGAGGAGTGAGTGTGAGAGAGAGGGGAGAGTGAGTGTGAGAGAGAGGGAGAGAGGGAGTGTGAGAGAGAGGGAGAGAGGGAGTGTGAGAGAGGGAGTGAGTGTGAGAGAGAGAGAGAGGGAGAGGGAGATGTTTGACAGGAGCCGCCGAGGAGTGGCGGTGAGCGCCTGGACCGAGCGGAGCGGGGACTCGGCTCCCGGGGAGAAGCCGACAGCCGCCCCGGGGGGAGGGGAGGGAGGAGGGGGAGGGGGAGGAGGGGGAGGGGGGGGGGGACCGGGGGTCGGGGGCACAGGAGCCGATCTGCAGAGGCATATTCGAGATCGGGAAGAGGAGCTTCGACCTCGTACTGACAGCCCAGAGGGTGACCTGGAGCATCATCCAACCAGAGACCCCCACAGGTGGGTGTGGGGGGGGGTGGGGGGTCTCCAGGGGCACTTGGTTTGCCTGGACCTCCCTCAACAGCCGGGGGGGGGGGGGGGCAGGCAACTAGAGACAGCCCCCCCTCCCTCCCCTCACCCCCTCCTCCCCCTCCCCTCCCCCTCCTCACCCCCTCCCCTCCCCTCCCCCCTCCTCACCCCCCTCCCCTCCCCTCCTCACCCCCTCCCCTCCCCCTCCTCACCCCTCCCCTCCCCTCCTCACCCCCTCCCCCTCCCCTCCCCTCACCCCAGGTTTCCATTGGATTGCCCTGCACTGGTTTGCCCTGAATACACCCCTCCCCCCTCCCTCCCCACCCCCCCACCCCTCCCCCCCCCCACCCTCCCCCTCCTCCCCCCCACCCACCCCTCCCCCTTCCTCCCCCCCATCCACCCCTCCCCCTTCCTCCCCCCCCCCCCCCTCCCCACCCCCCCCATCCTCCCCCACCCACCCACCCATCCTTCCTCCCCCACCCCTCCCCCAACCATGTGGTTGCAATGCAATAAGTTTTATACACATACACACACACACACACAGGGCTGAGGTATAGGGTAACCCAACACCTCTCTTTTTTTATATTAAGTTGTCGCCCTTCCAGGAAGTCGGGGATTGCTGCCCCGTTATACTGGCTGAGCGCTTCGGTGGTTATTACTGTTGATATCAGCGTCGGGTGCCGTTGGTCCCGGTTGTATCGCACCAAAGTTTTGACTTTCGATAGGAATTGGAGGGCTTGGCTCGCCGGATTTTACACGACTCGCCTTTGCAACGCTGCAGTGATTTCCACTCTTGAGCGGAAGGCGGTTGGAACACTGCCTCTGCACACTCCAATAAGTGGACGCAGTCCCGGTTTCTTGCAATGCCTTGACCCGGGTTTTTTTTGCTTTCCGTCCTTTTCTTTTCAAGACTTGACTTCTCCTGTTCCCCTAAATTTGGTTCGTCGGACCCCCTGATAGCCGCCAGTAAAAAAAAAAGGACAATCGCCCCTTTGAAGCTTCATTATATTTGTGCATCCCGAGTTCAAGTTTTTTAAAAAAAAACTAATTAAAAAAATCATCATGTACGAGTGTGTGCCACTCTTAGTTCCCAGTGTATTTGCCTTCGGCCTAACACCCACTTTATGAAATGCCTGTCTGCTGTTTCCGTTCATCTCACGGGGCGGGAGGGGTGGGGGAGAGGGGGGTTGCATGTCTATCCAATTGGCTCAATGAGAGTTTACTATTGAGAAGCAGCCGATCATTGAATGCTCAAGACATGCGGCATCTTTGTCTGTTAAAAGGGTCATTTAGAGCCAAAGTAAAATCTGATGGTCGTATGCGCTGTCTTTCGCACAGCGAGCTCCAGGCAAAGGCTTTTTGTCGCCCGACCAATTTTCAGTCCTCCAGTCAGCGAGCCTTTACCAATTGCGGAAAGAGAGTAAAAACCCAGCAGAAAGCTACTTGCATGTCTTTGGATCGAAGAGAAAAAACATTTACCTGATGTGTCACACTGATTGATTCTTCCTTATTTTAATATCCTATCGAAGGTCACTCCCAAAAACAAATGACTATCTTTGCCTTGGATCCACCTGCCCCTTGTTCCGAATTGGAGAAGTGATTCCACTTTGTTAATGCTTGTAGGACATACACCTACTACTATACAGCGGGAAGACTGGACTAAGATATCAAAGAAAGTTGCCAGCGTTTTGTGTCTTGTGGGCCTAAAGTGCAGAGAGACGGCTGATTTAAACAACAACAACAACAAGATTCCACTTATAGAGCAATAGATTTAAAGCAAAGCATTGCCAAGTCAATGTTGGTATATGCACAGGTATGATGTGCTGAACAGCCTCATTGAATGCTGCGGATTTGTTTGGTTCTATGCTGCGTTTTGAGGATGGTAAACCTTCTGATCCAGATAATAATAATAATAATCCTTGCATTTGATATAGCGCTTTTCACGTCGGGAGGACGTCCCAAAGATAAGGATCATCTGTTTTGCTTCACAGTTACTTGCTCCTTATGTTTGAGACAAGTTTCAGGTGATAATACTGCCTTTGTAAGGAGTAATTCCCAGTATTATCAAACACTACTTCTTAGGCTGAACTGAAGAAGGATAAGCGAACTACGAGTGGCAAATTAAACTAGATTGTATCAGCTTTTGTTTGTTTATATCTTTGATTATATTAGTAAATATACCAACTGCTTCAGTTGTCCATTATCAACTATTGTCTAATAAAACTATGCACAAATAGTTTTCTTCAGTGGGTATTCTCAGACTACACTCTACCTTTCATGGACGAATATGCAGGAGAGTAAATTGAATCCTTTAACTATTACATGTCTGTCACGTTTAGACTAAATTGAATTCATTCGCAGATGGTTTCTGCTCGTTTTGTGGAGTGCCAAAATACATCTGTTAAGTCTGTGGTTTCTATAATGCCTTCCAGCCTCTAAACTCCATGTCCCTTTTCCAACAAAGCAAAAAGCTTGATCAATCTCCAGACTGGGATGTAAACATTCGGAATTACTTTGTACTGCATTCATAACACTGCATTGTTGTGCAGAGAATTTGTACATCGCACAAATTGTCATGCATTTGTCTGGTGACTCATGTTTAAACCTGATGTACTTTAATGGCAGTGACTTCATTATTATATCAGTGGTTTCAGTATCAGGTGTTACCTTTGTGCCTTCCCACATGTATTATATCAATTGACTACGGAAATATGCTCAGTTACTTAAAGTGCTGGATAAGGTTGTGATATAATATTTTTACTTTCCAATGTTTTGTTCAGCACTTTGTAATGTCTTGGAATTTGTTTACTAAATTTGCAAACTTATTGTTTTGTAAATTAGTAGAAATGTGACACTAAAGTGTACATTTTCCCTATAGTTCTGCTGAAAAATAGCTAAATTGAGATTAGAAATATTGGAAGTTTAGCTTAATGTACTGTTTCAATAATTGAACAGGTCAAAACCATCCATTATACAAAGTACGATATTTCAGAGTAAATTTCAAAGTATTGCCATCTTGGGGTTCCAATAGCCACATGAACAACAATAATCCATAACACATTGAGGAGATGAGATAATGACATGAATTTGGAGAATGAATATGGTTAATCAATGAGTTTTGCAGGCACTTGTTTTAATATCATACATGTGCATGTGATGAGAAAATTGATTTATGTTGAGTGTACTCCTCTAGTTTATAGGGCCAGAAAAGAACTTGCTCCATGATGTGGATCACGTTGATATATTAATTGGAGCATCACACAAGCTCTTCCACCCTTCATTAAACACAGGCCCTGAGATGAAAGCTTAGAATTGTATTTATTTTGTGAAGTTTGTCTTTTGGCAACCTGGTCATATTTGCAGGAATAAAACATTTTGCTTTTTGGTATCCAGTTTGAGGAGGTCCAATATTCCCAGCTCAGGACTGCACGGCTAGAATACAAGCAAAGCTGGTTCCTCTCAGCCCCGCACAATATGTGTCTTCACCCCAACCTCAACAGCCAGCAAAAAGTATTCTTTTTCCACTCACGTTCCTACACCAGTCATTCTTGTATCCTTTTCTTCTCTAAGTCTGAGCCAATTTAGGGTTATTTTTTGGATAATGTGTACTGCAATCCTTTGAAACTGTAAAACTGCACAAATGTGTATCACTTGTTCAGCAAGTGATACAATGTTTTGAAATTTGTTTACTAAATTTGTAAGCTTAATGTTTTGTAAATTAGTAGAAATGTGACACTAAATTGTACATTTTCCCTAAATGTAAAGCATCAGAAATGGAAGCAACTTTCCATTAGTAATTGGGACAAATAGTTTTTCCTCTTTTTGCAGTAATTCACAAAAAACAGATAGACAAGGTTAAGCATGTTGAAAAAGCTAACCTTTTCCAGTACACATGAATGTCTACATTACAGCACTTCATCTGATGCAAGGCTAAGCCTACCTGCCTGACAATATAGTACTTTATATGAAGTGGAAATAAAAGGGTGGGAAAGAGTTTAACTTTTTATTGCAAGGGCATTTGGAAGAACTGTTGTGTTCTATTGGATTCAATCAAAGAAACTCTCCTCAGTGGGATAGAATCTGACAAGAAATTGCTTATTTGGCGTCCGTACCTTCAAGGTGATCTTGATCGTGTGTCGGTTTCCTTCAAGTGCTTATTTGATGGTCTCAAAATACTTACGATAACAACTTGCATTTATATGCCACCTTTCATGTAGGTTAGCATCTTGGAGTGCTACACAGTGTCAGTGTTGGATGCTGATCAGAGGAGAAGGGGGAGCGGAAGGGACCATAGGCACAGTCGAAGAAATAGGTCTTAAGGTGGGACGTAACCTGTCTTTAATGCAAAATTTGGTAAATGATGATGTGAATTGCAAATGGGTTGGCTCTCGTAAGATACATTGATTTTTGAACAAGATCCGAAATTTTAATTCACAAACAATAGGCACCCATCTGTTATTTGATCTGCATTGCTTGTGGAATACATATTGTATTCCCAGCCCTAAAAGTGTGCACTGAATAACAAAATGTTTACTCAACAACAATTAATGCTGTGGACATATTGAAATAAAGTTGTATTTGAGGTGCTTTCCATGTTAATACTGAACAATGCAAAACACTTACTGTTTGTATAAACTTGTAAACTTGGGTAACAAATAGCCTTCATACATAAAACATTGCATCTGTGATTAAATGATACGGGCCAAAGAAAGTGAAGCCACTTACTTCATTATTGATGAAAAGCCATAGTCTTAAAAAAAAAACCTAAGCAGCTGTGAAGGAGCAGCCCAAGGTTAAGCATGTGTTTATAAAGTTGCTTACAAAGAAAACAGCTGAAATATTTTGTTTGTCAAACGTGTCTTGATTTTCTACTGGAGAGTAGAGCAGATGGGCCTCACAGTAAGATACAGTTACCAATTCAGCATATCTGTGCTGTCCACTAGTGCTTATCATTTTGATGAAAACAGTCATAACCATGACAGTATGTGGCA